ATCGCTTGAGCCCAGGAGTTTGAGGTTGCTGGGAGCTAGGGTGATGCCACGGCACTCTAGCCCCGGGCAAAAGAGTGAGACCCTTGTCTCAAAAAAAAAAAATGCTAAGTGGGCTGCTCTAAAGGGGTCTGACCCACTGGGAACAGTTCCTGAGAACATCAGTGCTTATCTCCCGGGTCAATTTATTCTGGTAATGGAAAAGTGAATCTGCAATCCAAATGGCATTTTCCTTTTATACAGCCATTTTCCATATAGGCAGTTAATAAAAGATTTGATGATAAAAACTCCTCCCCTCCAGAATGACTTTGAAGATATATTACACAAAAGAAATCCAAAGCATTTAAAAAAGGCTTATGCCTGTCATCATAGCACTCTGGGAGGCTGAGATGGGAGGATTGCTTGAGCCCGTGAGTTTGAGGTTATCATGAGCTATGATCACGCCACTGCACTGTATCCTGGGCTACAGAGCTGAGACCCTGTCTCAGAACACACACAAAAAAGCACCAATTAACAAAAACCCTAGAAACCTTGGCTCTTGGAACCAGCTGGGTCAAGCAAGGGGCTAGAGCAGCAGTCCCCAACCTTTTTGCACGAGGGACCAGTTTCATGGCAGACAATTTTTCCTCAGACAGAGGGGGGTCATAGGGTGGGGAGGCAGGGCTCAGGTGGTGATGGGGAGTGGCTATAAATACAGATGTACCTCCTGCTGTGCAACCCCCTGATTCCTAAGTTTCAGGAAAGACAATCTGACCCTCCACACTTCTGGGGTGGGAGGGGGTTGGTTGTTGGCAAAGCTCTCTGGCCCAGTCCCTAACCAACCACAGGGATAGATCAGAGGAGAGGCAGTTCCCACAGCTGCATTCTGAAGTCAGTCCTTTTCCTAGGCCATGTGGTTCATTATACCCACTCTTGCTCCCTAAAATTGTATTTTACTTTCCTTACAAAATCTAGAAAATACCTGGTGTGTGTTGACTGTCATGACCAATCCACATTAGCATATCCCAACCCACAGAGTATGCATTTTGTCTAGCTTTTCTTATTTCTAAGAAATAATGACAGTCCCACAACTTGTTCAGATACCATTACACAGAAGTACAGTTTTTGTGATAACCTTTTATTTGTATAGAATTATAAATTACAAAGTATTATCTTGCTCAATCCTTTTAACCACCAGGTGAGGCAGACATGCTAGAGGGTACTAGCTCCATTTCACAGGCAAGAATGAAACACTGTTCCCATATTTAGTATAAGACAGCTGGGATTTAAGCCTTGGGCTTCCATACTCAACAACTGCTTTTTTCCCATGACTTTGTGATACATCATTTTAAAGTAACCTGATTTCACAATGCTTTAAAATATGAGTAACATCTATTGCTGGCAGGTTAACTCTGGAGCCAATAAATCTAATTAATTACCTCATAACCTGGCAAATTTTAAG